CTTCTTTCTCCACAGTGAACAAGATAACGCCTGGAAAGACACTGTTCGCGTGTTCGAAAAACGGTGTTTCTTCTCATTTTTCCTGAGAGCAAGGATCATAAGGAGCCGAACGGAGATTATGATTCAAAATTTGACCTCGACAATTTGGCTTTTTTCCAAATCTGTTTTTATTATTGTACTTTAACAACGAATCAAGTATGGCTCAAGGATTCGGTAAGTTCTTTGACAAAATCTATGCGCGGAGGAATTCTATGAAAGATACGAAGACCTTGGAACTTATCTAGAACGATATTTCAACTACACACCCTAGTTGAAGGATTGGGTATTAACTTCCTCAAAGAATGCATTAGTCTTTTCGCATAACGCTTTTTATCCTACCCCTCCCCAATCGGAGAACTAGATTAGACCAGAATTTAGCTTTGATGCATTAAGTGATATGTGACCAGAACATCTCAAAATGCAGATCACCAGGATATGAAGAAAATTACGAGATGCCATGCAGTGTCTATGAGGTTTGTGACACAAACACTGTGAAGATCGATTGACGGAAAATCTGAAATTTTCACGCGGTTTTTCACAAACATTTGGCATTTATCTGTTCAGCTCTAATGTTATGATCTAATTTGCTTATGTCATAAAGTCAGAGAAAAAGTAGCACGTAACATGCATCAGCGAAGAAGAGGCTGATTTGATTTTTGGCAGGAATTGTTCTTTGGCTTCTTCTTATCCCGTTGCATCGAAGACCACGCCGGGTGCCATATGAGCATTCCATGTGGATCGAATAAATGCGTACTCATTCTTCAAACGTCTTGATGCAGTTTCATTTCTAACGAACTCTTCCAATCTTTCAGCATGTCCTCCTGTAGGTCGCTTGCCACCAGGCTTTGCGTTCAGTACTCACTTTGCAAGACCGCTACCTTCTTTTCGTTGGCCATGGCCCAACCATTTTGAACGTATTGTCTGCAGATTGAAGGTCACTTTAGTAAGATTTTTTGATCATTCTCTTGCGACGACATTAGACATCAGGTCATACCATTTTACTCTTAATTTCCATGCTAAATCCTGATTTCCGTTACTTTCAGTTTTTTATTAAGGGCTGCTGCCTCTAAGCTATTGTAAAGGATGTTCGTAATGCAAGCCCTGTATATCCACAGGTTGTTGCTATTGCCAACATCTTTATTCTTCCAGATCTTGAAGAACTTTTTACTCGCTACTAATGCTGACTCACAGCAGCTCTTGACTTCGTTTGTCACTCACCCATCTGAAGCCACTGTGCTCAAAAGATAAATATGTTCAGCTACCTTTTCAATAACTTTCATTTCAACGATCAAACAGACGTTGGTTTGGGTTCTACTAGTTTCCATTCATTTTGTCTTCTTTAAGTTAATGGAGAGACCCAGATCAAAACACATCTGTTTCAGAGTAAGAGTATTGATGTTGCAGCATCGAAGTTTTCGACAGGCAATTCGATATCATCTGCAAATATAAGATGGTTTTTGCAGATGTGGACCACCTTATCCCCGTAGCTTCACTCGTTCATAATTTCAGGAACATCCAGTCAAGAAACCTCGCATAGAGCACTGAAGTTTTCGCTTCTTCTTGCCATATTTTGAGGTCTCTACAAAGGAATTTGTCGAGCATGCCATGAATTTGCACTGCACTTGACGAGGGATCATGCACGTTTCAATTATGCAAACAATCTTTTGTGGCATTCCTTGTTGTTCACCAACTTTCCAAAAAGCGTCTGCCATATTGAGTCAAAGGCTTTGGTGAAATCGATGAATATTGTAATTGATTTGGATCCCCATTTTCTCCTCTTTTTCGTTAACTGCCTCATCGTGAACGTCTAGTCTAAACATCCGCTTGTCCTAAATCCAGACGCCTTTTCACCCAAGATCTTCTCAAGACGTTCTCTAATCCTTTTTATCATAACACGCACGAACACCAACAGAAACGGGTAGTACGCTGATTCCATGGTAGTTATTTGGATCCGTGCAACAGTTTTTCTTAAATATTGGAACAACGCAGTCAGGAACCGAGTCGCTACCCTTTCTGAACTGAGAAGGCAGACAGCGCGATGCCATTTTTTCACGTAAAAATACGCTCCACGAGAACGACACTCTCAGTGGGAACTTATACTTAAATTGGAATATATCCTTACTCAGAGGGAAAGACCAGGAGCTCGTTGATGAGGTCGCAAAGTAGCGACTGGCTGTAATCGGGATATTGCCAACGAAGCGCCAGGGCTGTAGAATTCTGAACTTTTTCTCATGCAAACTGTCCTGCTCAGATTTCCATTGTACGACTCGTGCTCAGACCGGTGTTTCTGTTATGGCAAACCAAATCTGACTGAGTCAGTTATTGAATTGAAGCCTGTGAGCGTAAGATTAACAGTTCTCAGTCTGAAGCTACAACAGGCAAAAGCGTTGACCTTATTGGCGGTCTATTCGCTGAGTTTGGGAGGGGGATGTTTTGAAGGAAGTGGAGTGTCCTTAGTGTGAAATGCTGACTACGAATTCCATCATTCTAATAGGCGATTTTAATGCGTATTTTGGAACAGACACTGGAAAGTGGAAAG